GCGTCGGCCCTCCCTGCGACCGATCAGCTCAAGGCGTCGGCCCTCTCGAGCCGGAAGCTGACGAGGAGGCCTCGAGGTGTCTCGTTCTGTTGTTCCCTCGGCTGCCGCCACGTCGGCGGCGTCGGCACCCTCCGCAGTGCCCAGGGTGCCGTGGTGTTGCGGAGCGCGGCGGCAACCCTCGCCCAAGGAGAGGACGAGGAGCCGCTGATCGCAGCCGTCGATGATGGCTCGGGCGGCTCAGATTGATTTCGATTGTGCATTTCGGTCATGCCCTCACGGGACAGGTGACAGGTGACAGGTGTCAACAAAAAGCATAAACAATTTCCCAGGTAACTGAATGCGACGCGTGGGTCGTTTTTCTTTGCTTTGCCGCTGCAGCCATCCCGTTTCTGCGTGACGCTGCCATGTCGCTTGCCTGGCTCGTCTGGCCTTTTCGCCCTACCCGCACTGTCCCGCCCCTGACCCTCGAGTACTTTCGACGTAAGCTCGATCACAACTTGGGAACATCTGCGTGTGTGTGTGTGTGCGCGTGTGTGCGCCCTGCCGCCGCGCGCAGGGCCGCGACGCAACAAGTGAGAGAAAGAGAGAGAGAGAGAGAGTGTGTGTGTATGTGTGTATATGTGTATATGAGCATGTGAGTGTGTGTATGTGTGTATGTGTATATGAGCATGTGAGTGTGTGTGTGTGTGTGTGTGTTTGCCATGGCGGTGAGCGGGCCATCGGGCGGGTTGGCGTGGTGCGTGTGTGCGTGTGCGTGTGCGTGTGCGTGTGTGTGTGTGTGTGTGTGTGTGTGTGTGTGTGCGTGTGCTCATTGGGCCATGTGAAGTACGCAGTCCCTCTTTTTGTTTTCGCTGGCTAAGCCATGGCCGTACGCTTGCGTGTGCTTTCTTTTCGCCGCTGACTCGATGTACTGCTTGAGCTGCTCGTGCAAGCATGTCCTGGGCTGTTAGATGGCGATTGTGACATACCGCGCGGCTGTTTTGTTCTGCATAGAAGCATGCGCGGGCTGCGGACATGAACGTGGGGGGAGGGCTCGAGAAAAGGGAGGAGGAGGTGGCGGACGAGTCCGAGGAGGAGCAGGAGGGCCGTGGAGCACGGATGGAGTCGACGGGCAGAGCGGGCCGGGGATGCATCGGGAGGCAGGGATGGTGCCGCAATAATGGGGGAAGGGAGGAGAGCGGCTGGGGAGAGCATGGATTTGAAGAGGGGCCTGAGATGCACCAGTCAGACATCTGAGGAAAAATAGCACATGTTTGCGGGCTCCAGATTTCGTTCAAGAGAGCCTAGGTTTTGGACTGGACCCTGAACGTTTCCTTGGAGCCTCGCTTCTTCGTAGAAGGCTCGTATACTTGGACCTGGACTACTGTCTAAGAGAACGCTGGGCGTGAAGTCCATTTTCTCAGCCTGAAACTGCTCCAAATCTCAGCAGGGGTGTAGACATGGGGATGTTGGGATGGAGAAGGTGGGGGTACCGAGGCAGTGGGGCAAGGACGTGGCGAGTTCGCGAGTCGGCTCCGCACTGCAGGCTGGTGCTGCAGCTTCGCCACGGACCCCGACGACCAGTGCGGCACGTGCCAGGGCGGGGCCGGGGCAGCAGGGTCGACTTGGGGCCGACTGCAGGGACCAGAAGCGCCATAAGAAGCCAGCCGTGTGCGTCCCCTCCTCCCTCCTTTTCCCCTTATCCTCCTTTCTCTTCCTCCTCGTCCGGCCGTTCCTCCGTCCCTCCTCCTCCTCCTCCTTCGCCTCCTCCTCCTCCTCCTCCTCCTCCTCCTGCGGCCTCGGCCGCAGTCCTTGCGGTCTGATCTGGGGCCCCAGCTCTGGACAGGAGTGGCCCCGTGTGTTTTGTGCGCCTGGCCCAGGCGCGTATCAGGCAAACGACCAGGCGCTCCCGTGCGGCAGTTCAGGTGCTACGTGGCTGACGAACTCATCCTCGAGGCAGCTGCGTTCCTCCTCTTCCTCCTCCTCCCTTCTCCTTCCCCCTCCCCCTCCCCCTCCCCCTCCCCCCTCCCCCTCCCCTCCTCCCTCCCCCTCCTCCTCCCTCCTCCCCTCTCCCTCTCTCCCTCCTCCTCCTCCTCCTCCTCCTCCCCTCCTCCTCCTCCTCCTCTCCCTGCCTATTTTGGCTCGGGCACTTGCCAGTCCTCGTGGCTTTCGGGGCGCGCCTGCGCCCTTCCCCTCCCTCCCTGCGTTCCCCCCCCCCGCCCCTCGCGTGCGCCATGGTCGTCGCCTCGCGCTTGGCATGGATTCGGCGGCAGGTCCGGCAGGGCGCCGGCGTTCACGTCTCCGCGGGCTGCGCGGCCAGGCAGGGGCGCTTCAGGGTACAGCTGGCCATCGCGAGGCAGGTATCGCTATTCGCTCAATTCGCAGCCTTTGGTCTGCTCGGTCATTTTCTTCAAATGGTTGGCAGTTACCTGGCAGTGGATTGTGGTCGCCGCCATGCGGACGGACGGCGCGGGGTCCTTCTGCGGTTGTCTGCGCGGCCTGGGCCCGCGTTGCCTGGTCCTCCCGCGGAGGATGATGACGATGACGATGTCGGAGAGGATGGGGCTGACCCTGGTGGCGGAGGTGGACATAGCTAATCGGCGACGTGCTGAGCCCGATGAGCCAGACCTGTGGCATGGACCCAGCGGTGACGATGGAGGCGGCGCTGACGCATTGCCGTCATTGGGCTAAGGTAAACCGCTTCGACGATGTGAACATGGTGGCGGCCCATTCTCTCGATTGCCCGTTGTTCCTCGTCTTTCTGGATTTGCTTGGAACCGAGATGCGCCCGAGTTCAAGATGCCGCCGAGTGGTGACGTGAATGTTCTTCTCCGGGAACTAATCCCTGGATTGCTATGTGGTGGTGCGGCTTCTCTTTTGCGCCATGGAGTGCTACCTGGTGGTGCTGATCTACCTGACGCAGAGCCTCCTCGTGATGTGGATGTTGGTGGAGGTTTACCTGGATGGTATACCTTCCTTGTTAAGATTTCCCTGGAGTGATGTGTGGTGGTGCGGATAGTCTTGATGAGGTGTTTCTGGGGGCGTGCGTCATTGTGGAGTGCTTCCTAGAGGTGCGGATCTACCTGGCGAAGATCATCAGGGGAAATGCCCCCTGGGGTGCTGCCCGGTGGTGCGGATCTTCAGGGTAGATTGATTCCCGGAGGCGGGGATTTTACGGAGCGTTGCCTGCAGGAGCGGTGTTTTCTGGCGCAATGCCCCATGGGGTGCTACCTGGAGGTGCGGGTCTTCCTGGTGCAGCTCTTCCTGGCGGAGGGGGTGTTTGCGGCGGTCCACCCGGCGGCGCGGTTCTTCATAGCGTACTACCTGGTGGTGCAGATTTTTGGCGCGAAGTGCTTTCTGATGTAGTGAGTGTTGGTGAGAGGTGCTACGTGGAGGTGCGGGTTTTCCTGGCGGGGGGCTCCTGGAGGGCTACGTGGTGGTGCGGATCTTCTTGGTGAAGCGCTTCCTGGAGGAGTGGAGGTTTGTGGAATGCTGCCTGGCGTTGCGGATTTCCATGGAGGCATGCCAGCTGGTGCCTCTAGTGCTGAATATGGTCTCCCGGACGGTGTTCCTTTGGGTCGTGATCATGGGCATGCCGGCGCTGGAGGGCCTGCCGTGATGAGGTACACTCCTGGGCTGGCTGAGCCATGTGGAGTACATGGGTTCCGCCGCCGCGACGTACCGATGGCGCTCGAGGCAACGTCGCGCATGTTGGGGGGACGGCCACGAAGCGGAAGAGGAACAAGAAGTCCACGCGTTTGGCTAGTCATGAGCTCTCTTCTGCTGGTGGTGATGATCTTGATCTTTGAGGCGGTGCGTGCGTCGCGTTTCTCTTGTCGTTTTGCCTCCTGTCGTCCTGTATCGTCGGGTTGTCGCCTCCCCGCTCGGTTCCTGTTCTCCCGCGTTGTCGTTTCTGCGATCTGGGGTCGTCGTTGCTTCCCCCATCGGCCTCGTCCTCCACCTCATCTCACTCTTTCCCTCGCCTTCCGCCTCTCGCGAATGTGAGAGAGGGAGAGAGAGAGAGAGAGAGAGAGAAAAAAAAAGCTGCCTAGGTGACGGCGGGGGCAAAGAACATAAACTCCTCCTCCCCCTCCTCCTCCTCCTCCTCCTCCTCCTTCTCCTCCTTCTCTTTCTATTGCTCCTCCTTCTCTTCCTCCTCCTCCCGTGCGCGCGGGCGCGCGCGTCTGGAGACGCAGGGAGAGAGAACAGAGAGAGAGAGAGGATAGAGAGGAGAGAAGGACGAGGACACGGCGACAACGGGCGACGACGCTGTGGAAACGGAGGCACTGGTTTCTTCCACGCCCTCCCTCCCTCCCTCCCTCCCTTCGCAAACACCCAATATGAATACTACTCTTCTCTCCCCCGAAGGCGACCAGGGAAAAGCCCCCCCCTAGCCCCCCCCCTCTGCGCACGTAGCACGTAGCACAGACAGAAGCAATGGGTTTCATTATTGTGTGTGCCCATGGTATTCCAATGGGAATAATTCGGTTTCTCAACATGCTGCCGCTGCAGCGTTGGCCTCATCATAGGATCGGTTCGTTGCTCCCGTCGTTAAGAATGGCGCTCTCGCCCCAGCGCGGGCTTTCTGGACTCCGAGTCCTTCATCATTGTTGTCGCCCCCCTTCATTTCCCCTCCTCCGCCTTCCCTTGGTCCTCCTGTTCCTCCCGCTCCTTCCATTCCAGTTCTCGCTGCTGCTGTTCGTCCTGGTCCGCCTCCTCCTTGCTCATCCTCCTTTTCCTGCTGTCCATCCTCTTGTTCATCTGCCACCTCCTCATATGTACGCAGCTCCCCTTCTCCGAATGCGCAGAACACGGTGGGGTATTTTTTGGGGGGGTCCGGATCCGCTATGACCCGCGTCCGCGGCAAGAGAAACATCAACGCAATGGAAACGGGTGGGTGGGAGGTGCCGGATGTCAGAGATGGGGCGAGCGCACCCTGCTTGCCCCCGCCCTCTCTTCTCCGACCCCTGCCCTGGCACAGGTTTTTTTGCCGCGATGTTGTTGAGAGTAATGGCCCTGGGACCCCGCCCCCCCTGGAGGTGGAACCCTAAGGCAAGAAGCGCCGGGATGGATTGGATCGTCACGACGCCAGAGCTCTGGGTCTGCACTCGGTCGGAGGGCAGTGCTCGAACCGGGAGGGGGGGAGGGGGGGGCGCAGTTCCGCCGCCCAGGGAGCCAGCTTTCGCCCCCCGGGTCTCCGGGCTGCGAGAGTGCGTCTCGTTTAATCAATCCCCATCCCCAGCGGCGTGGCCTGGGCCTTCACTGGCCGATTTACCCCCCTGGGGATATAGGTAGTTCCCTTCGTATTTCGAGGGGTGTATCCCCAACCGTGGTGGTAATCTGGTGGGGGTCTCGAAAGGGATCGGGATGGGGATGGGGATCGTTAAAATGGTACTGAGAGAGGGGGGGTGGACGATGCTCCAGGCGCTGTTTCTTTGCGGAGCTTCCCCTCCCCCCCTCCTTCCCGGACCACCTGCTGACTTGCACAAGTCGCGCCGGAGGTTGCAGTCGGCCTTGGTTGGGAGGTCGGCCCTGCCAAGTCGAGGGTGCCCCTTGAGTCCTGCCGTTCGAGACCCGTGCCTTTCACGTGCCTGTGGAACACTGGCCCTCGGAAGGGTCTTGCGTCCTCTCGCGCGTACTCTCTAAATAAGCCCGAGCGTATTGGATGCAACTTCTGGGAAGTCAAATTCAGATTTTGCCCTGGTCCGAAATCCGGTTGGATACAGCTTAACATGCTTCGTTATTTTTTTATGGCGTTATCTTGCTTAATCCCGCTTAATCTGGCTTAATCCCGCGTAGTCCGAGGCTCACTCCGGCGTAGCAGCCCCCCAATGTGGTTCAGTCCTCCTTGATCCTTTCGACGGACACCTCCCCGTAGCTGCTTCCTGAGACGGTGTACCCAAGTTTTTGGCGTCCACGGGCCGTTTCGGGCCCGGGCTCCGCGGAGCCCCGGCGCGGGAGGGCAGCGGCGGGCCACCCCCGCCAGGGGTCTGCCGAGAGAGCAGCTCGCGGGCGGGCGGGCCTCGAGCGGGGTTCAATCGGGCGTGTCCCTCTACAGGAGGACCATTCGAGAACAGCCGCACAACAGTCATGGGAGTTTTTTGTGTTTTTTGTTTTTTACTATCTTTGACCATTTTGATGATTTGTTGCGTGTTTTTAATTCTTCTTCCAAAATCCGCCCGTAGGAGGACATGCCCGACCTGAGAGCAGGGTCGAGCGATTGGTCGGAGGGCGGGGTGCGCTGCCTCTCCCCGCTCCTCCTCTCCTTCGGCGGTTGGCAGAGGTTGTGCGGTTTTGCGCCGGGGTGTGGTCTTCGGTCTGCGCGATTGGGTCAGGGCTTCCTAGATGGGGTCGGAGTGCAGTAGGAGCTCGACCACAAGAGAAACCTTCCACAAAAGAAGCCCGGCCCCGAGACCCCAGTGCGTCCATGGATTTCATGCGTGGGAGCGTTACGAGTTCCATAGCAGAGTCATCGAGCCCCAAGAATCCCAGGGCACCCTGGAGGTAAGCAGGGTGTTTCTTGGCATGGGCCGCCATTGTAGATGGGGTCGGAGGATCGCTCCGCATCGCCGATGTCTCGGCGATGCGGCTCGATGTGGAGCCCCATTTGCTTCACTTCGACGTCGCCGATGCATCGCCGACGTCGACGATGCATCGCCGGTGCATCGCCGATGCATTGCCGATACATCGCCGATGCATCGTCGATGTATCGGCGATGCGGCGCGATTCTCCGACCCCACCTACTGCACCCCATCTAGGGGGCCTCTAGTTGGGGTTGGGGTGTCACCAAGCTGCCCTCCTTGGGACTCCTCGGGGCGCGGCGGAGAACTCTGTCGAGGTCCTCGCCCGCTGCCCCGGGTGCGCGTTGCAGACCACACCCTCTGCAAGCCACGTCCTTCAGTGTCGCCCACCCGCTTTCCCCTCACGCTCGCTGCTACGACGAGATCGTGCTGCTGCCACGGGTAGAGGCGCGGCCAGCGGCGACTCCGTGGTCCCCACGATACGCGGGACTCCTCCTCTTGCTGCCCCTCTTCTCCTTCCTGTTCGTCCCTTCTCCTCCGCCTCTTTCTCCTCTTCCTCCTCCTCCTCCTCCTCCTCCTCTTCCGTTCTCACGCCTTTTGAAACTGCAGATTTGCGATGACGGCGCCTGGAAGCGCCCCTCTGGGCCAACCCCTAGAATTTAAGGCAGACCTCGTCAGGGTGCTGGGTGGTCCGACGTACGATTTATTTGTTGGTGGTACTTGTAGACGGTAGACAGTGGGCAGGTGTGGACGGCAGTCGTGCTGATAAACAAACTTTCGTGCGTGGGCGGGATGTGGCAAGGGCGTGGCGAGGGAAATTCGACGACGACAATTGGTGCGCCACGTCCCAGACGGAGTGCGAGGACAGCCTTGGCATCTTAGCTTGCTCCTTTCTGAACCACCACTTGTTCTCAAGGATGTTCCTTGCACCAGAGGTTTCGATGGGTAGGGTGGCCATGTGATCAGTACGTGATCGTAAGGACCATCGTGTGATTCCGTGGGCCAGGGCTGGAAATAGTGGTGTCGAGGTCGACGGTCAACAGAAATATAGGCCAACGGATAGAATTTGACCACGATTCCATGAGTGCATGAATTGCATGGGCAGGAGAATGAGCAATTGTGGCAGCGACTGTATTTTCATGTTTCCCCGACTGCGGATAGGTTCCCCTTTAGTGTTCTCCTTGGGGGGTCTGGGGTGGACCCCTCGAAATCTGTCTCCGGCCACTGGTGGAAGCTCGGCGGACATTTGCGGAAGACGGCAGCCCGCGACACGGAGGTCCCGAGCTGGCTCAGGACGGTCCGAGATTGCCCCCATGACGCTTCCGAGAGGGCGAGGATGGGGTCCAGACGGCCCGAGATGGACCCGAGGTGGCCCAACGAGTTCTCACGACGGTCCAAGAGGTTTCCAATGTTGCCCAAGCGGGCCCCAAGAGTGTTCGCCGCCATGATGAAATTTTGCGCAAAACAGTGCACGAGGGAAGATTGGTTCAGTATGGGGATCTGATCAGTGCGGGGATTGGCTTGAGCAGAGGACACGCGCTTGAGCGTGATCCCACGTGCTCATATCATATGTCAAGAGACTTTTGTGTGTTTAGCACGACATGCTATTAAAACATTTCTGGGTGAGACGGTCTTGGTTCAATCAACCAGTTTTCTCGACATCGCTCGGACGTGTGCATTCGTCTTCGGCGAGGACCATCGAGGAGCATAGACCATCGTGCGAAACGTACACGCACGAAGCCGAACCATTCACGGGGGATGGACGTCCGAGCGCTGGTGAGTTTTATGTTCTAAGAGTATCGTGTTTGTGATTCGAACATTGGTTTGTTCTAAGGACATGCCGTGGTAGGCCTGTATGCATGCCCGGACGGTCGGCTCACGCTCCAAGGCAGGAGGGAACGCGGGATGCCGGGGGGGGGCCGGAGGTTGGAGAGGCGCGATCGGACTCATCTGTTTTTGTCACTGCGACGTCTGGCCTGCGCGTGTTTTATCGCACACGGCATTGGCCAGCAAGGGGGTACGGTCGGACCGAGGTGTAACATCGAGGTCGGTTCGGGGAGGGTGCCTTAGTGTTCCTCGTGATGGTGATGTTCTTGTGCATCTTGGGGGAGGGCACCCTTGGAAGTTCTGCGTGTTTTGGCCGACGGAGGGTCTCATGTTCTTGAGGGATGTTTTTATGGCCTAGGGCCGACTGTATGGGATGGGGCAGGATGAGGAGGAGTTGAGGCAAGCGGTAACGAGAAAGGGAGGGTCAGAAGGAGCCTTGTCTGTCAGGCCTGCCAGAAGAGCTGGTGCCACGATTCTGATACCGAGACGACGACCAAGAAGAAGAGAAAGGCCGAGCCAATCAGCGCCAAGTATTGCGTTCACGGCATCGCCGCTCTAGGTCATTGTTTGGTATATCACTCTGTGACTGTATTGTATACGAGCATTTTGGGCGGGGGCGGGGGCGAGCTTCGGTCAGCTTGTCATGCTTGTCAGGGGAGGCGATGGCATCCTATGTGAAAGGCGGTGTTGGGCGAATACACGTGCTCACAATGCGAACACTGGTTGAGGCTGCCTCTGATGTGGATTATATGATATGTTTCGCAACCATCCTGTGGTTATGGGTTATCGTTTTGAAGAGAGAGCGCTCCGCGTCTCTCCTCCCCTCCTCCCCGTGCCACCTCCTTTCCATCCCTGCCTCTGCCCTCCGCATGGGTCCCTGCCACAAATTTCGGCACATACACACACACACACACGTTTCGCTGCCGTATAGGGAGCTCCACGGGAAGGCCCCAGTGGCGCAGTCCGCATGCGTCTCCTCCGCGAATTTCGGCACCCCCCCTCACACGTTTCGTGGCCCCAGAGGGAGCTCCACCGGGTGCCCCCGCGGCGCAGTTCGCATGCGGTCCCGCTATTCATTTCTGCACACCTCTCATTCGCATTCAGACCCGCCACCCAGTTCGGCAGCCCTCACACGTTTCGTGGCCCCATCGAAGGTCCTGGTGGCTCAGTTCGCATGCATTTCCGCGGCTCGTTCCGGCACATTCGACACGTTTGCTGGCCACACAGGGATTCCACCGAAGGTCCCAGTGGCGCAGTTCGCATGCGGTCCCGCCACCAATTCTGGCACACCCCTCGCACGCTTCGTGGCCTCCTAGGGCGCCCCACCGAAGGTTCGCGTGGCGCAGATCGCATGCGTCCACGCCATCCATTTCGGTACACCTCTCACACGCTTCGTGGCCCCATGGGCAGCTCCTCGGAAGGTCCTTGTGGCGCAGTTCGCATGCGGTCCCGCCACCCATCTCGGCACATCCTTCAAACGCTTCGTGGCCCCACAGGGAGCTCCAGCGAAGGTCCCAGTGGCGCAGTTTGCAACCGACCCCGCTATTATTTTCGACACCCATCACGCGTTTCGTGGTCCCATTGGGAGGTCCACCGACGATCCCAGTCGGGCAAGGAACATGCGTTTCCGCCCCATAGGGAGCTCAACCGAATGTTCCGGTGGCGCAGTTCGCATGCGGTCCCGCTACCAGTTTCGGCGCACCCCTCACACGTTCCGTGGCCACAGGGAGCTCCACGGAATGTCCCAGTGGCGCAGTTCTCATGCGTCCCCGCCACCCATGTCGGCTCACCTCTCACACGTTTTGGCCCCATACGGAGTTTCATCGAAGGTCACAGTGGCGCAGTTCGCATGCGCCCCCGCAACCAATGTCGGCACACCCCTGTTACGCTTCGAGGCCCCATGAGAAGCTCCACCGAAGGTTTTAGTTGTGCAGTTCGCATGCGATCCCGCCACCCATGTCGGCACATCCCTCACACGCTTCGTGGCCCCACAGGCCCACGGGGCGCTCTACCGCAGGTCCCACTGGCGCAGTTCGCCTGCGTCCCCGCCGTTTATTTCGGCACACCTCTCACACGCTTCGTGGCCCCATGGGCAGCTCCTCAGAAGGTCCTTGTGGCGCAGTTCGCATGCGGTCCCGCCACCCATCTCGGCACATCCTTCAAACGCTTCGTGGCCCCACAGGGAGCTCCATCGAATGTCCCAGTGGCGCAGTTTGCAAGCGTCCCCGCTATTAACTTCGACACCCATCACGCGTTTCGTGGCCCCATAGGGGCTCCACCGAAGATCCCAGTCGGGCAATTCGCATGCGTTTCTGCGACCCATTTCGGCACACCCATCACACGCTTCGTGGCCCCATGGGGAGCTCCACCGAAGGCCCCCTGTGGCGGAGTTCGCATGCGTCCCAGCCACACATTTCGGCACAACCTTCACACACTTCGTGGCTCCATGAGGAGCCCCACCGAAGGTCCCAAGGGGGAGCCCGCATGCGTCCCCGCCACCCATTTCGGCAGATTCTTTACACGTTGCGTGGTTTCATGAGAGCCCCACCGAAGGTCCCAAGGGGGAGCCCGCATGCGTCCCCGCCGCCCATGTCGGCACATTCTTCACACGTTGCGCGGTTTCATAGGGAGCTCCACCGTAGCTCACAGTGGTTCATTTCGCATGCGGACCCGGCCGGCCGCATTTTTCGGCACCTGTCACTCACACGTTTCGTGGCCGTGTAGGGAGCTCCACCAAAGGCCACAGCGCCTCAGCCCGCATGCGGCCCCGCCACCCACTCTGGTCAACCTCTCACACGTTTCGTGGCCCCAAAAGGAGTTCCACCGAAGGCCCGAGCGCCACCGCCCGTATCCGTCCCCGCCACAAATTTCGGCACACACCTCACACGTTTCGCTGCCGTATTGGGGAGCTCCACGGGAAGGCCCCAGTGGCACAGCTCGCATGCATCTCCTCCACGAATTTCGGCACGCCCCTCACACGCTTCGTGGCCCTATAGGGTGCTCGGGGTGCCAGGGTTCGCATGCAGCTCCCCGCCCACCGCATGTCTATTTCGGCACGCCCCTTACACGGTTCGTGGCCCCATAAGGGGGTTCTCCTTTCTTTGTCTCACTTGCCTCGCGGTACTCAAACCCGCATATGGTTGGGTTCTGCGCCAGAATTGTTTCCATTGATTGCAGTATTGCTGGGTGGGGGAGGGGGGGTCACGGGCGCCAGTCCAGGTGTTCTCTTTATGAGACAACACGTGGACTGGAACCCCGCAGCACCAGAGGTGGACGGGGCGCCAGTCCGGGTGCCATCCTTGTTGTCGTCGCCCCCTCCGCGACCCCCCAGCGATCCACCCGCGACCCACCCCTCGACCCACCCGCTCGCCCTCATCACTCTTATCCGCATTTGCGGGGTGCTAGGTATTTTGGGATTTGTCCAATATAGTTATTGTTTTCTTGGGATTTCTATTATATCTACTTTGCGTTGTTTTAAATGTTTGTTTGTCTGCAGTGTTATATCGATGTTTGGGATTCGTCTTCTGTGGTGCCTCATCGGGTCTCGCTTCGTCTCGTGGTCGTCCTCCTCCGGTTCCTCCTCCCGCTGCTCCCCCACGGCCGCGCTGCACATGCCTTGCAGAGGCCAAGACCTCCACGCCTACGCCGAAGACGACGACGGCCGCGCCCGAGGCGACGGACCAGCCGCGCTGGAGTTGGCTTCCCCTTTTTCCTTGTTGGTAGGCACATTCTCTCTAAAGCCATTTAGGCATGCCCAACACTACCAGACCTGAACCTCGGGATGTGTTTTGGCAGCCTCAAACCTCAGCGCATGCTCTGACACGCGCCTTGCGATCGCATACGTCCACGGCACATGCGCAGACCCAGTTTGGCCTCCCAGAGCCTTGAGAGGAAAGAGGAAGTCTGAAGCTGGATGGCGTCGGTCCCGGCCAGGCGTAAGTCGGGCCTGTCCCTTTATAGGAGGAGTATTTAAGAATAGTCAAACCAATAGTCTGGGGACGATTTTTCATATATACGTTTGAGCAATTTGGGTATATTGTTTTGGCTCTACTGTTTATGTTTCGTCGGAAATCCGCCCGCAGGCTTGGACACGCCCGACTTACGGCCAGGCTCGTCCTGAGCTCAGCATCGGTCTCGCGCGCCTCCCTGGCAGGGTCGGGACGGCGCCGACCCTGCGCGAAGGGCCCGCCCGAGCGGCACGACCGAGCCGGGCACGACCGAGAACCGGTGGCAGGACGACGGTCCGCTCTGCCCCACGGTGGCCGCTGTCGGTTTGGGACAGCCCTCCTCCTCCTCCTCCTCCTCCTCCTCCTCCTCCTCGTTGCTGTTGCTGTGGCAGCAGCAGCTGCTGGGCACACGCCGAGGGGGCACGAATAGCCGGGGGCGGCAACGAGGGGGGTGATGACCAGGGGGGGGGGCATATCATGGCGTGGGCCATGACATTTCCCCAGATCTCATGGCGCCGCTTCTCCTTTCATGACGTCTCCGGCCCCCTCCCCCCCGGGCCGCGCACATGCCGCCGGCCATGATTTTCCCCCTCCTTGCCCCTCTTGGACGCCCCCATCTTGGCCGCCCCCGATATAGTTTTGACCATAAGACGTCAAGCGATGGACCCCCCCCCGACCCCCCCCGCAGAAACTCAGCGACGGATTTTTGGTCAGGGAGCGGTCCGGATCCAGTGGACTCGTACCCCGTAATAAGGTGACCATAGGAATTTCAAGCGGAGTGATAATTATTCCGTCCCATTAGAAATGGGCCCAGAAATCATTCCAACTTGGAGCCACTCACAGCGCAATTGCTCCGCATGGTCAGTTGAGACTGTCAGTGTCATCTTCGTCGTCGTCGTTGTCATGCCGATGTCAACACGATGCTCCATTGTATTCGTTCTCGCTTTAACGCAGTGTGGCCCTGGGAATCCTGATCCAATGCTGTCGCTCTTGCTGTGCTGGTCGGCCATCCCAGGGAGCTCACGAAGGCTTGCGAATCCGCATCGGGGCACTTCTGCATCCTAATCGGTCGTCCACGGCACGCGGGACCAGCTATGCAATTCTAGACGCTTCGCGTAACCCCACCAGCCCCCCCTCTGCAGCTTGTTGCATGCGTGCAACCCCTGGCAGTGCAGCTAACCGCTTCCCTCTTCGGCTTCCTCCTCCTGCTCTCTGGCAGCCGCAGCCAGCACCCCTCCACTCGCCGGCTTGCCCGCCGAGGTGCCGCGTGAGGCTCCGGCCCATCGGCTTTAGGTTAATTCGTCTTTGCGCGGCCCGCTCTGACTCGACTCGCCGCTGGCGCTCTCGCCTGCGGCTGCTGACTAAGAAGTAACCCCACCAGCCCATCCAGAAACGAGGCCCAGAGGAATTGCCTCGATCAGGGAAGTGGGCAGCACACAGAGGAAGGGTCCCCCAGTGGAGGCCTCTTGGAGCGTCTTGGGTGCCTCGGAGAGCGTCTCTTTGGAGCATCTCGGAGGCCTCTTGGGCGCCTGTTGGGGCCTCCTGGGCGCCTCTTGGGGCCCTCTTGAAGCGCTCTTGGGAGCCTTGGCGGCGCTCTTGGGGCCATCTTGGAGGACATCGATCAAACAAGCAGCGAGCATTAGTTAGCGTTGCCCCTTGAGAACCCAAGCAATCGCCTCTTTGGGCGCTCTTGGGGCGCTCTTGGGGCGCTCTTAGGCGCTCTTGGGGCCGTCTTGGGGCTCTCTGGAGCCTCTCTTGGAGCCCTCTTGGGCCATCTTGGAGCCATCTTGAGGCCTCGGATGGCCATCGGAAGCGAAAAGGCGAGAAAGCCACACCCATAGAAATTCCTAAGGTGTTGGCCTCTTCGGGGCCTCCTGGGGGAGCTTTTTGGCCACTTGGAGTGGTCTTGGGGCATCTTGGAGCATCGTGGGGGCCATTCTGAAACATCTTGGGATATCTTGAGCCATCTTGGAGGTCATCTTGGGCTCTCCCAGGTTCTCTTGGAGTCATCTGAACCAGTGCCCCCCCAAGGGGCCAACATGTGGTTAAAACCTTAGTAGAATCAATGATTTGGCATTCTCGCCGAGGCCTCTTGGAGCATCTTGGGTGCCTCTGGGGGGTCTCTTGGGGCCTCTTGGGGGCCTCTTGGGAGCCTCTTGGGGGCATCTTGGGGGCCTCTTGGGGCTTCCTGGCCACCTCTTTGGGCCCTCTTGGGGCACCCTTGGGAGCCTTGGGGGCCATCTTTGGGCCATCTTGAGTGAGATCGATCACAGGAAGGGGGGGGGCACGAATTAGGGTCCCCCCCATCAAGAGGCCAAAATGTGGACGTTCCGGCACCTCGCGAAACCACCCGTCCAGGTCCATGGGGAGGGGGTAGGGGGAGGGGTCAAGTTACCCCTTCCCCGCCCGCAAGCCGTCTCGCTCACTCCCACCCGCCCTCCCAACACATACGTAGCACCAAAGTCAGGCCCGAGCCTCAGCATATTCAGCAGCCGTCTTGGGATGGGGAGCTACTGGGGGCCAATCCGCCGCCGCCGCCGCTGCCTCCGCCGCCGCCGCCGCCGCCGCCGCCGCTGCCCGCTGCCGCCGCCCCCGCAGCGCCGCCGCCGCCGCCGCCTGCCGCCTGCCGCCGCCGCCGCCGCCGCCGCCGCCCCCCGCTGCCAAACCGCCGCCGCAGCCGCCGCAGCCGCCGCCGCCGCCAAGTGTACTCTGTATTGTTTTTTGACAGGGATGGGGGGGGGGGCGCATCGGGTTGGCTGCGCATGTTCCGATTTTGGAGGCAGAGTGTGTGTTGTATTGTTTTTCACAAGGGATGGTGGGGGGGGTGTTGGCATGGACTCGGGTTGGCCCCCAGTCGCCTGGGGGAGGGGGTGTTTATCAATATGGGAACAGTGATAAACCGTTCCCCGAAAGGGGAAGAAGGAGGGGTGGAAGAGGAAACTCCCTAAACCACCTACGCCCAGAAGGCTGGTGGGATTCTCCGCCGATGGTCAAACACTTCTCCTGGCAATTTGTCTCAACCATCCTGTGGTGTTGGGCTCTCGTTTTGAAGGGACAGCGCCCCGCGTCCCTCATCTCACCTCCCTCCCCCTCCCTCCCTCCTTCCATCCCTGCCTTTGCCTTCTGCACCACGTTCATTTCGGCACACCCAGTACAGCGCTTCGTGGCCCCATAGGGAGCTCCACCGAAGGTTCCAGTGGTAAGGTCGCGTGTGGTTCCCCGCCCATCGTTTGCACACCCCTCGCACGTTTCGCAGCTCCAGAGGGAGCTCCACCGAAGGTCCCAGTGGTGATGTTGCATGCGCTTTCCCGCTCAATTCGGCACACCACTTACACGCTTCGTGGCCACATGGGGAGCTCCACCGAAGATCCCGGTCGGGCAATTCGCATGTGGTTCCCCGCCCTTTTCGGCGCATTGCTAAACGCGGCCCCATAGGGAGCTCCACCGAAGGTCCGAGTGGCAAAGTTCGCATGCGATTCCCCGCCCATTTCGGCACACCCCTCACGCGGTTCGCGGCCCCAGTGGGGAGCTCCACCGAAGTTCCCACTGGCAACGTTTGCATGGGGTTCCCCATCCATTTCGGCACACCCCACACGCTTCGCGGTCCCATAGGGAGCTCCACAGAAGGCCCATGTGGCAAAGTTCGCATTTTGTTCCCCACCCATGTCGGCACATTCCTCACACGATTCGTGGTTGTATGGGAGGCTCCGCCGAAGGTCCCAGTGGCAGAGTTTGTATGAAGTTCCCTGCCCATGTGGGCACACCCCTCACACGTTTCGCTGCCCCAAAGGGAGCTCCACCGAAAGCCCCAGTGGCAAAGTTCGCATGCGGTTTCCCGCCCATTTCGGCACACCCCTCACGCGGTTCGCGGCCCTTGCGGGGAGCTCCACGGAATGTCCCAGTGGCGCAGTTCACATGCGCCCCCGCCACCCATGTCGGCACATCTCTCACACGTTTGGCGGCCCCATAGGCAGCTCCATCGAAGGTCCCAGTGGCAAGTTTCGCAAGCGGTCCCTGCCCATTTTGGTAAATCTTTTACCTGTTCCACGGCCCCATAGGGCTCGCATGCTGCCCCGCCACGCATTTCGGCACATTCTTCACATGCTTCGTGGTTTCGTAGGGAGCTCCACCGAAAGCGGTGATCACAATTGGAAGGTGTACCAGATTCGGGGCGTCCAAATTTGATATCGGTGTTGGTTGCACAGTTGGAGGGGTTGAGATGGAATGCGCGGACAGGAAGGAGGACGCCAACATTCAGATGGGTTGGACCCCCCCCCCGTGGTGAAGCACAGATATTTTTTTTCAGGCCCCCCCCGTCCCCGCCGTGCCATGACCCCCCCAGCTTCCCGCTGTCTTGACACGCCCCCCCCCCCTGGCGCAACCGTTCGCCCTCATCTCAGCAGCACATGGTTTGGCCGTTGGCACATTTGCATGTTGCAAGCGTGTAGCGTGTAGCACCGTAGGCACACTGTGAAACAGGTTGGCACGCTCGTCCGGCGCGATGGAGGGTGATCGGTGCGAGATGCACAAGATCCCGAGCCGCCAGTCTGCTATTGCAGCGGGCGTAAGTGCATTGCCAGGCGACGACTACGACTGCAACGCCTTCAGCGTCGTCGCCCCCACCGAAGCCCCCGCCAGTGAACGTCGACGGCGATGATGCCAGTGATTTGGCCAAGGAGAGGCTGTGCGACAGCCTTGCTTCCGCTCTGCCCTACGTGCCCTCGCCTCTGTGAAGCTCCGTCGACATTTACGCTGACGTTGTTCGCTTTTTCTCCCGCAGTCCGTGCCGCGGGCGAAAAATTACCTCAACAGACGATCCAGACATATCCCTCCCGAGACACCCCTTGGAAACGCTGCCAGATCCAGGATGGTGCTCCAGATTGCGACGTTGTTCGCTTTCCTCCCGCCTCGCCGTCAGTCCAAGTGGTTCCTCCGTGCCCATCCGGATTCAATTGTCCCCCCCCACCACCCTTGGGGAGCCCCAAACTAGGTGGTGAGATATCAGGTGGTTACATGGAATCCCAAAACAATCACCGCCGGGTTTTGGAACACGGGGTCGCCGCCTTGTTTTGTGACTCCTGGACCCACCAGCGTTCGGGACATCCTCGAAACACCATACGAGTCCCTAAACCAGGTGGTGACACTAAATCGCCCGAGACTCATCGACGGGTGTTGTCACCACCATGTTTGGGGACCACCCTTTTCCATGATGGATGTTGCGCTTTCCACGGTTTACCTCCCTCCATTCCGCCGCTCCTCTCCCAGCTCTTCCCTTCTCTCGTCGCTCCTCCTCCCCCTCTCCTTTCCTTCCTCCCCCTATCGCTCCTCCTCCTCCTCTCTTTTCCTTCCTCCCTCCTATATTTCTCAGTCTATCTTTCTGTCTGTCTGTCTCTGCCTCCTTCTCTCTCTCTCTCTCTTTCTCTATCTCTCCCTCTGTCTCTCTCTCTCTCTCTCTCTCCCGCCCTCCTCCCTCCCATCCCTTCCGCCCTCCATTTGCCTCCTCCTCCTCTCCCTCCGCGCCCTCGTATGTGCTGGCACGCCTCCATGCTGCCGTCCTCGTCCTCGTCGTCCTCTTCCTCAGCGTCTTCGTCATCGTCGTCCTCCTGCTCCAGCTTCTTTCTCTCGAAGAAGAAAAAACGCCCTAAACATGAACTGTCGGCGCTCCGGTGGCCTCCAGAGCGTCCATCATGAGGCGCACAGGGCTCCATGCGGTCCAAATGGAATGAGAAGCTCGGGCCACCTTGGGCCAGGATCATTTCAGGTAGCCTCCGATACTCCTAGCGCCCCAGCCCCGTCCGCCGTCCACTGCCTGGCTCTGCCGCGCCGCGAGCCCAGCACGGAGCCCAGGAGGTGGTCAACAAGTACGAGAAGTTCCGGTCTCTGGTGGGCGGGGTGCAGGCGGGGTAGGTTTTTGTGACGTCTGCCTTCCGGACGTGTCAGCTGGCCCTCTTCTTCGTGCGTTGCGCAATGGGTGGCGATCAGTGGGGGTGTGCAGCGAGGTGCACCTTCTGGGGCCCGAGATGGGGCCCCCTCGGGAGCCCCACAAGTGGCACGACAGGTGCACGTTCCTTTGCCCCCCCGGTCGCCGCCCCCCGTGGAGCAGCGCCCAACTTCCTCTCGCTCCCCGCGCTGTGACCATGCCCCGGACTGTGCGGCCGAGCGGCGCCGCGGCGCCACCTTGCCAGGGCCTCGCCGGCCCCCGCACAGTCGTACCCAGGTATTAGAGTCGGGGCGACCAAGAGGGGGGTGATGACTAGGGGTGTGTGGCTGTCATGGCGGGGGCCATGATATCTCCCCAGATCTCAGGGCGCCTCGTCTTATTTCAAGGCTGCCGCCTCTGCCGCCGACCCCAAAGAAGGTCACGGACTTTGGTTTGCCTTGTGCCTTGGGGATAGTTGACGGGCTTCAGCCTCTCTGTCTGCGTGTATCCGATAAGTCGGTCGGGCTTCTACTGGACCGCCTTGGAGGCCTCCTGGGCATTCTGGGGTCTCTTGGACTCTTTTGGGGCCCTCTTTGAAGCCTCAATGTGGTTCAAAACGGACCAGGAGGCCTCCAAGAGGCCTCCAAGACGGCCTAAGAGGCCTCCAAGACGGCCGAAGAGGCCGCCAAGATGTCCTCCAGGAAGCCCGAAGAGGCGTCTTTGGCGTCTTGGGGGGGGCCCTGACGTTGAAACGGGAGGAGTCCATCCAGGGGGGCGTGGAAAAGGTCAATGGGGTAGCCGAATGTCTCACACGCACGTCACTTTTTGCAAACGCGGCGGCGCTGGCCCAGGCCGAGGCGGAGGCGCCGCTTCGCGGGCGAGGCCAGGGTCGCCGGGGGGACCGCTGACGGGAGATGTGATCAGTACGTTGTGTTATACATGACCGGATGCTCCTCCTCGGGTTTCTTCGTCCTTCTCCCCCCCTCCTCCTCCACCTCTTACTCTTTCTTCCCCCCCGCCCCCTTGCTGAGCCGCCGCAGGGGAAAGGCGAGCGCCCTGCCGACACGTCCTTGCAGCAACGATCCCACTCGCCAGCGCTGGTCAGCCTCGAGCACCCATGGCTGGCACTCTGCCGCGACCTGTTCTGAGCCCGGTGTTCGCGGGTTTGGGCAGTGGCCTATGTCCCCCCCCTGCCGCCTTGCCCCCTCGCGGCGCACCTTTCGCTTCGCTTGAGCCCCCCCGCGCGGCCCTCCAGGTTCCGCTCGGTGTCTGCCTCATGCCGCCGCCTGGCGCGCCTGGCCCCGCGGCTGCCGCCTCCGCTGTGCTCCCCTTCGCACTGCGCCACTTTGCCGCTTCTTTTCCGCGCCCCTCCCTGAGGGCCCCTCGCTGTCGCTTGGGGCGTCTCTCCTGCGGCTTCTCTGTCGCCGCCCAGGGCCGCCCTTCCCGGGGGTGGCTGCGCGCGCCTCGGCGGGCTGGACTTGCCGCCCGGCGTTGGCCCCCGCCCCCCCCCCCCCCCTTCCCGCCCTGAGCGCGTCTTGCTCTGCCGCTGCACCCCCCCGCTCTGGCTGGGGGCTCGCTGGCCTCCTGCAGGTTCTGTCCAGGCCCTGCCCGTGGCACCCTCCGCTGCTTTGCCGTGCCTTGTGCCGGCCGGGCGACCCCGGCTGCCCCTGGGTCTCCGCTCTCCCTGCGTTGTTGCCAGGCTGGCCTCTTCACCATCCAACGGCCGCTGGTGGGTCGCTGCCGCACTCCTGTGGCGCCTGGGGCTGCCCTCCTGCCCGGCTGCCCCTGCGCTTCGCGGGCCTTCGG